TTGGATGTACCGATTGGTGTCGACATCCTGCTTCCGAAGGCTCACTAAAGACTCGCACACTCGACAAAAGCGCACATGTAGATCAACCATGACAATCAATAATTCGTAAATCTTTTTGTAATGTCATTTATGCGGTACTTACAATTTATATGTACTTTAGATAAGCCCTGCTACTGCTGTGCGAAATCTGGTGTTATTTTATAAAATGCGGATTTTCTTAAGATTTTATGTATGTTAGCAAAAAATGAGAAAAGGGGGGTCGTATCTGCGCCTGATCTAAATTTCTCCGGAGCTATTGAAGCTCATTAGCTGCAAACTTGCTGTAATACGAGGCCATCCATCTAGTTTTTATCGTAAGAATTTCAGGCTGTTTTATAACTTCTCCGGTAAGTTACAAAATTTGAGGCTCAAAAATCCCAGTTTTTGCTTTTTAGGATCGCATCTAAATTTGCGAGAGCCTGATCTAAATTTTTTCGAGCTCACTGCTCCTCAAGGGCTGAAACTTTTTCCATGAATAGTCTGTGCACTATGCTACAGAACCTGTTCTTTACAGCCTCTCAGTCTTTTCCTGGCCTTAGTTACGAATTTTCAAACTACCGTGCTCATGCATGTTTTTGACGTCGTTCTTGACGGCGCTAAAGCGGTTTTTTTCCACAGGAAAAACTGTGGAATAGGTAAGAACTGAGCTTCTTAGTCCGAAAACATCTTTTGTAGTTCAAGAATGTCATTTTGTTCTCCGTGTAAAAATTTGTGTCGCATACGGGAATCGAATTTGCTGGCCTGAAGTATGCCTGAAAATTCAAAAGTAAACTTGCAGAATCTCAAACATTATTGAAGGTGTGTATATGTGCTAGAGATGCTGGGCGCACCCATTGGCCTAGAAATTCTGCTTCCGAAACCTCACTGAAGTTCTCACGCAGGTGTTTTTTTGAGCTTGACATTCGTTTATGCAGGTTACCGCGAGAAATGTGGGCAGGGGAGATAAGGGGGATAGATGGGGGAGGGTGGGGGGAAGGGGGAGGGGGGGGGGAGGGGAGGGGGGGGAAGGAGGATCGTACGGATGGGTACCTTCAAGGGGGGGGGGGGGGTCGTAAATAAGGGTCCCGGATCGCATCAACACGCTTGACCCTGCTAAGTACCCCTCCAAAGAGAGGCGCCGAGGCTTTGGAAACTCCTGGACCGCCGCCTCTGAAATCTAATTGCCCGCAGTTAGCGATGAACAAGGTGAGGACGGCTGGAGATAAGTCGAATTTTTTCAAAAGATCATGTGTGTCATTGCACCCACTGTCCACCTTTGGCGTTGCCATCCCAAATTCCTGGAGCAGACACACCTTCAGGGAAAATATTTTGATGTGTTCTTGATGTTTTCTTTTCTTTTTGGGTACTAAAAAGGAAAGAGAACATGAAGGATAGGCAAAACATCGCTCAGTCTCTTGCGTTTTTGCGATTGCAAGTCCAGGATGAGGACGTCAAAGTTGGACGTTGAGGGCAATGCACACATGATCATATGAAATGATTCGACTGTATGGGTTCCGAATGCGGTATAGGTTACTAGCTGGCTTACCCGGCTCCGCCGTATCCGGACCAAACTTGGCACACATACACTTCGGGCCCCGGCGGGTGTCACAGTCCACTTTTCGTTATCGATCGATGTCGATTTTACCGATTTTTATCGATTTTTTTGCAGAGTTCACCTACAGGGCTAGGAGTTGGCACAGGGGGGAAGTGAGCATGGGGATTCCGAATACAATATTAGGCCCGTATGCACGTACATCCCCGCTGGGGAGGGGAGGGGATCTGAGAGGGGATGCGTCATATCTCGCTACTTTAAGTATCTTTCTTCTTCCTTTTCTGTCTTGCTTATGAAGGTTCTCATACCCTACTACCTGCGCATAATTGATGCCAGGTTACTGGCATAACTGATTAGATTTGTACTATTTTGTGTGATCCCCTGGGGATCCCCAGGGGATCCCCAGGGGATCACCTCTCATTTTCAAAGTCATTTATCTTCCTGAGAAATGAATAAAAACGCCGCAAAATTGTACTGAGGATATACTACGGCACTGCTAAGCATGTTTAAAGTAAAAATCAGTGAAATCTCAGGATATCGAAATCTTCGGTAATCCCTGGCTCAAAAGCTAGGGATCATCGAAAAATTCACAATCCTCAGATTCCATTTTTTCTGTCGAAAACATGCTTAGCAGTGCCGTAGTATATCCTCAGTACAATTTTGCGGCGTTTCCATTGATTTCTCAGGAAGATAAATGACTTTGAAAATGAGAGGTGATCCCCTGGGGATCCCCTGGGGATCCCCAGGGGATCACACAAAATAGTACAAATCTAATCAGTTATGCCAGTAACCTGGCATCAATTATGCGCAGGTAGTAGGGTGTGAGAACCTTCATAAGCAAGATAGAAAAGGAAGAAGAAAGATACGTAAAGTAGCGAGATATGGCGCATCCCCTCTCAGATCCCCTCCCCTCCCCAGCGGGGATGTACGTGCATACGGGCCTTAGTTTTCAGAATAATCGATTACTTTTATTGATTTTATCGATTTTTTGTAAATTTTGACATGCGAGGCTGGGATTTTGCACAGGGGGGTAATCGAGCATGCTGATTACGAACACAATATTAGTTTTCAGGATCGTCCATTACTTCTATCGATTTTATCGATTTTTTTTGTAAAGTTTGACCTGCGGGGCTGGGAGTTTGCACAGGGGGGTAATCGAGCATGCAGATTACGAATACAATATTAGTTTTCAAGATCGTCCATTACTTTTATCGATTTTATCGATTTTTTGAAAATTTGAGCTAGGGGGCTGGAATTTTGCACAGGGGTGTAATCGAGCATGCTGATCACCCCCCTTGGGGGTGATCAGCATGCTCGATTACCCCCCTGTGCCAACTCCCAGCCCCCTAGCTCAAACTTTGCAAAAAAATCGATAAAATCGATAAAAATCGATAAAATCGATATCGATCGATGACGAAAAGTAGCCTATGACACCCGCCGGGGCCCGTAGCGTATGTGTGCCAAGTTTGGTCCGGATCGGTTCAGAAATGGAATTTTCTATTCGGAACATACGTACACACATACAGACAGACAGACAGACATACAAACAGACATTCAGCTTTATATATAAGATTCACAGTCGATGTGAGCCCCCCTCCCCTTTCAGACGTAATCTCAAAAGACTTCAAAGTCACTTTCGGTTAGACATGATGTGCAATGAAAACAACATTGAGGTTGACCGGGAAATTCATAAGCGAATGAGACCGCCTACAGTGCTTCGTAAAAACCGCACGCCTATGCTGGTGTTTGAGCATAGTACGGGCAATTAGGTTCTACAAGGCCTGTACAATTACTTTTTTATAACTTTTGCGGACATAAACGACTTCTTGTGGAATTTCAAGCGTAATCTTGACGAGGTCAAGCTAACGTATGCACGCAAAGTTGCGAAAAATTAGCCTACAAGATTTTTTATGTTCTGGACTTCTTAGCAGAAAACAAATTGACAAAAGACCATGCATAAATACTGATGAGGAGACTTCGCTTTCAACTTAAGGCTACGGCCAAAAGACGGGTGAAGAGATCCTATCGTCTTCAGTACTTTTGTTGCGCTGACGATAATGTGTTCAAGCAGTTTCCTCCTTTTCCAGACTTCTTTGATACCAGCGACCCCACCGATTGATTGCTGGCAGATGGGTAGGAGATGCATTAGGGCCTGTAGTGGTCCCGCAACCCTATGTGGTGATATATGTGAAACTAGTGCCATTTAAAGTCGTCCGGCCTAGAGCTGATCAAGTGGCTAAATCTCATAGCCGTCGGAGATAACCAATGGGGTCACGGGTAGCACTGGTATAAAACACAGAACGAATTCCATTTAAGCTTTGGAAAGGGTTACAAGGGCGAAGAAATATAGTGTGCCAAGGGATTTGCAATAGTCACGAGATTAAAGGGCGAGCGCTGCTTGCTTGTCCGCACTTACCTGAACTGTAAGCATTAATCGTACAGGCGATTCATCGTGCATGCAAAGACAGGACGTCACTATGGACGCTGCCGGCGCTTCGCTGATCGAGTGCACTTTCGCCCCTTTTGCCATCTGCTGTTTCTCTCATTCACAGTTGGACGCAACGGCGTCGAGCTCAGGGCCCGGTACGCGCTGGTTTGAAGCGTTTCTGGAAACGAAGTCCCCCATGACTTCGCGAAAATTTACGAAGTCCCTCTTGACGTAAAAATCAGTAGGGAAACCCTTAATTAGTCAAAATAACATTAAAAAAGCGAAAAAGCGCATTTTGAGGTAACTAATACAGTCGAGTAGATTTTCTGCTTAATATAGTGTGCTTGCACAGTTTATGAAATGCGGTAAAATTTGCGCGTGAACAGGTAGCTGCGCCAGCACTGCCGGCATTTTGCGCGCGCAATTGGCCGGCGTCACAGTCGAAGCTATTTCCTCACGAGCAAATTTTACCGCATTTCACCTTCTGTGCAAGCACACTATATTAAGCAGAAAATCTACTCGACTGTACAACAAAAAAAAAGCAAAAAGAAAACATTTCGAGTTGATTAAAGGCTCTGTCATTGGGTAGTGTACCATTTTAGCGCTCAGAATGTCGAGAACCTCCTAGGCCAACCAAATCTGTGGCCTCAACAATCTGGCAGTGCGTTTTTCGCCACATACTTCGAAGGGACGTATTCGAGGCGCACAGCTATTTCCTCCGGCTCACTTCGCACTCGGTCACGCTTTTCGCCTTGGAGCGCGGCAAGCTCTTTGAACTTGGGTCCATTAACTATCACATCACAATCATTACATCCACGACTTAATGAAGCTATCTCGTCCCACTGAAGCTTGTTTGTTTTTTCGCCGTTGTCTTCTTGTTTCGCAATATCACATGATGCGTAATTCTGCAATTCTTTTGATTGTTATGGGTTATGAGGGGTCTTCTTCTTCGCACAGTTCCAAGTTTCTCGCTTTTCAGCATTCTTGCACATCTTTTTATTTAGAGCTGACAAAATGGCGAAGAATATGGAGAACACCAGTTATCGCAAAATGGATGTGGATGCGTATGATCCAGAGAATTACGACGAAAACGAGGATGGTGAGTCATTCTGCATCTCTTTTTTTCTTTCCCGTTCCTTATGTATTGTTATACGGAATGATTTTCGAGAGTTATGGCTTCCTTTCTGACATAATACGAGCAAAAACAAAGAACACAAAACAAAAACACAGCAAACACACTATTTGTGATTAAAATAAATATTCAACAGAAAAAATGTTTTTCCATCATTCAGAAAGCCGTGTTCATTTTTGACATTTCTCTGCAAAATTCATGCGTCTACAAACTCTGGACTTGAACCGAACTAAGTCAGTTCTGCTCTGATTTTAATCCCCGCCCTGCAGAAGGAGGTGGCGAGTGATGGCCAGAGAATGGTATGAACAAGTTAGTTTCATCTTGTGATACTCGGTTTTAACCCAGTATCACAAGATGAAACTTCATTCGATTCTGATTATCATAAAGCGAATGATGGGACTGTGCGGTCTTTCAAATCAGCATTCGATTTATCATCATTCAGTTTTTTCCAAAGAGGATCAGTTCAGGAGTTCATGCAATTCACTGATAAACTCCTCGTAGAAAGATCGGGACTGGGTGGGCGTAGTACTGTGAAGGAAAACGAATATTTTTGCCATTGCTACGTGCGCAGTGACGGCTTAGCAGCGGTCTCCGTTACGGATAGTAAATACCAGGCACGCGTTGCCATGAGCATGATGACTAGATTGTTGGACGACTTCACATCTAAAGTTCACCCTACTCAATGGGCGCAGATAAAGTCAGACAAAGACTGCATGTATACAACTCTTCCGGAGTTGCTTGCCAAATGGCAAAATCCGCGGGAAGCAGATCCTATGACACGGGTTCAGGAAGAAGTAGAAGAGAATAAGATTGTTATGCATAACACTATCCAGTCAGTGCTTGAGCGAGGGAAAAAGTTGGATGATCTCGTCAAGAAAAGTGAGAATCTCTCTGATCAGTCGAAGCTTTTCTACACACAAGCCCGGAAGATGAACAAGGGCTGCAACTACTACTGACTTTTTACCCAGTCTGACGTGAGTGATGTTATAATCTCGAAAAAATCTCTCATTATCAGTTTTTTCCACAAACTCGTTCACGGTTCATCTTCCTTGTTTCAGCCAGACATTGACGGGTGATGTTGTTATTGTTATACAAGTGAAACCACATGACGTATTTGAAAGGGAGGGCGATGATCTCATTGCGAAAAAGTAAGTAATCAAAATGTTCTCGGGCGAACTCCTTGGTAACATTTTTGGATTATGATCGTTGTTTCATTAAAACATTTTTTAAGAACTATATCGCTGAACGAAGCTCTATGCGGGTATGAAATCCCATTAAAATATCTTGACGGGCGTACTTTGATTTTAAAGAATAAGCCAGGAGACATCATAACCCCAGGTTTGACATTGTTCTGAAAGAAATTCATTTGTTAACAGCATCTTTTACATGATGTTTTCATTTGTTCAGATTGTATTCGTGGTATAATCGGAGAAGGTATGCCGCAAAGGCGACATCATGATCTTCGTGGAAATCTTTATGTAAAGTTTGATGTAGCCTTCCCAAATGATCACTTTTTGGAAGACGACACGAAGTACAAGGTTTGTCCTGAGACTCGGTTCAGCATTTTGAGTTTTGTTTGCATGAATGTAATGCTTTTAGATGATTGAAACCGCATTCCCACCAGTCAGGAAAGTTGCATATCCGTCGAATTGTGAAGAGGTATGTGGTTCTTATTGTTATGTGTGATCACCAAGCACACCTACTTTTGCGGCAGTGGAAATCTTTATCTATTTTTGCCAAATACTGATTATGTCGCATATGCCTCCATTTTTGTCAACGCTACCATAATGGAGTTTAGGTGTCTTTGATGGAATACGATGAGAAGCGGTATCGCGGCGGCAGAGGAGGAGGACAAGCTTATGAAGAAGACGGATCGGATGAAGAAATGGGTGGTCATCACGGGCCTCAGGTGCAATGTGCACAAAGCTAGAGTCATTCTCAAATCTTCTCGTTTTTTTTCTTATTTTCTCTCGAATCATTTGGCGATACTATGCTTTGATTGTGATCTTTAAATACTAATGACTTGGTGAAATTGTATTCAGTAGTTATTCGAATGAATGTGCTGTTTAACGCTGTCCTGAAAACATTCGCTGAAAATGAATGTCGTTTACTTCATTAATCGCTTGTATAGTATTCTTTCTTGCTTCTGCAAAATACTAGCAAATTGTTTAGTTTTCTCATCATAGCTAGTATACTAGCGATGAGTCCAGGTAAATTGATTGACCGTTGATGATAAAGAGCGTGCGAGTACTGGGTATCTATGCGAAAAAAAGTCATAATCAAAAAACTGGGGAGATCCTTTTGGGGATGCGAAAAACTCACAGGGGTGCGAGATACATTGTTAAAGCGGGAACTTCTGCGAGGTGACAGCAACAAGTTTTAAGCAACGATGATGTCAGAGTATCTCCCAGGTAATCTACTGCATATCTCCTGTGATTGAGAAAAATCTCTATAAGGATTTACGAGTTTTCTCTGAATGCAATGGGTGGGTTGCTTTTCTAGAGTAGATTAGCAAGCCCCTTAGCTGTTAACAGCCTCAGATCATCTGCGAAACTCGAAGAGAAAAAACCTCTGAGTTGGGAAGAGCTTTCGACTTGCAGGTTGAAAATTGTCGGAGATGCACACTGCCACTTAACGCACAAATGTTGTTGTCAACGCAGAGACACTACACCAATCGCCAAAACGGCTAGACTTTGTGTATACTCAATTGGTGCTTTTGCATAGAACAATACACTGCGAAATCTGCTTTTTGGGTAAAAACACGCGCTGCCTGCGTTTCAGCTTAGCATCTCGAAAGGAATTTTATGCAAAAATGGCTCAATCAAAAGAAGAAAGTTAGTATCTCGAAATAAAGTTTGATGTATAATAGAAGGGACGGAAATTAAAGATTATCGCAAAGTGCTGTGAAACCCCAAAGTCCTGCGGAAGTCTCACTCTGAAACACCAACAATGATGGCGCAGTTCAATCGGTGGAGAGTGATTGTGATGTGATAGTTAATGGGGGAACGGGTCATGAGTGGCCGTTAATGGACCCAAGTTCAAAGAGCTTGCCGCGCTCAAAGGCGAAAAGCGTGACCGAGTGCGAAGTGAGCCGGAGGAAATAGCTGTGCGCCTCGAATACGTCCTTCACACCGCGACACCGCGTGTGATTGGAGCGCAATATCTATCAAGGCGTATAGATTTGCACTACTTTTGGCTCAAAAGAAGAGGAGAGGCAATAGTTTGATTCGCTCTCTTCACTATATAATAGACTTTTGAGCGTTTTAATCGTCCAAATCAAAAAGGTCCAAAACTTATGTGAACTTTCCGAAATTTATGCTCCGAACCAACCCTGTTCGGCCATTTGCTATGTATTGTGGCCGAATCGACCTATACATTAATCATCCCGCAGTAAAGCGGGCGGGTTCGGGGGTCAACGGGGCTCTTCGGTTGTAAGCTTCCTCAGTGTCACAATAAACGTTCATAGCGACGTGTTGTGTTATCTCCCAGTTATAAGTTGCCCTATAGTGGCACAAACCCAGTTGGTTCGGTGGTTGGTCTAGAAACCAACAAATCCGGAACGGGTATTCAGACACATAAGTTTTGGGAACTTACATAACATAGTTTGGAGTAATATTGTATACTCATAGCCCAAATTCGGAGCCATGTGATTGTTTGCGCGCTGTAAACAAGCCATTTGTTTGTTTGAGTCTTGCATTTGAAATTCGCGCGCTTGCGAAAGAACACGTTCAACTCGTAAAACCTGACATGTTCGTCGTGTTTTTTGGCGCTTCCTTCAGGACCTCATAAAAACGATGTCCCCATCGCTTCTAACTCCAAAAACGAAGTCCAGTTTGACCCCAAACCATCGGTGCCGGGCCCTGGTCGAGCTCCCCTCAAAATTCGAGACTCGTCTACTGTAATTCGCTCCGTAATCAGGAAAAAGTGAGTACTCCAGTCATCAAATCTTCTAGTATTGTGCCTATAGTACATCAGCGTCCCATGACGCTGAGCCACCTGTAGCTTGTGGTAGGCATAAACTCTTATGGAGAACTTATGATACGATTGTAAAAGTTACATTATGGCAATCAGGCTATAACAAAACGCAAGGTAGGGGCTGCTTACAGTTGCCCATAGATTTCTGTGTGCTTCGAAGAAGCATTTTTCGGGGGGGGGGGGCATTGAAAAGAGATTTTCGGAGTGCGTCTCCCCCCCCCCCCCATCCGAACGTTTCGGATACACCACTACATTACACACAGAGTGAGCGAAGAAGCCCCACTTTTTCCGTCAAGCTCCGTCCACTCGACCAAAACTGCACAGACTTTTCGGCAGTTTTTGCGTCCGCGATGTTTGCCACTGAGGAGGAGCCTACTCGACGGAGCCGGGTTCGATGCCATCAGGCCTTTTCGATCATCTACGGCTCCTCCATGCAGTTTGTGCGGAAGACAAAATACGTCCAAGTCTGAACTAATCATATGTCTACAAATAAGAACGAATGACTTCATTACGATTGTAATTTAGACTACCGCACACCACTGCGCGGCTTCATTTATAGGGAAAGACTTGCAGCATTGCGCGGCACTGGCATCAACGTGTTGAGACTCAACTTTTTTCATTTTTCTTTCACTGCGCAGTAATAGTCAGAAGTAGTTTGTTAAGTGAGAAATCACCTTTAAAAGAAATGAAGACATATGATCGGCTCCCAGATTCGTGTGGAGGTGTATTGCAGACTTTGCCTGATAACACATGTAAACTTGCTAAACCTCCACGTCATAGAATTGCTTTTCGTAATCTCTCGCTAGCAAAAACCGCCACGCGGTGAGTTGGCAAGACTCCACCTCCACACGAATCTGGGAGCCGATGATACGCTGTTCAATTTGACAACGCAAACAAATCACAACTTCGCATAATTTGCGTCGTAGTACAGCTTTTGGAACGTAGAGTATCAAACTCGACGTCCATGAAAACCTATTATACAAGTTTCCGGGGGGGGGGGGAGTCTGAAATCAAAAAATGGCAGCTTTTTCACAGTGATGCCATACGCTGAAATTCCTACCATAATCTTTTAGTAATTATGGCCGATTGGTGATTCGTTCCATACTGTAAATCTAACAAGGGAATGGTCAAAGTTGAAGTGGCCAATCCAAGCAAGCTGCCTACCATTCAATGCAGCATTCAACGCTGACTTCGAACCTGTATTCCGTATGCTTATCGCTTTGTTGACGAAATTATGAGCAGTTACATTGCGAAATAATCTTATATATAAAGCTGAATGTCTGTCTGTATGTATGTCTGTCTGTACGTATGTGCGGAATAGAAATTTTTATTTCTGAACCGATTTGGACCAAACTTGGCACACATATACTCAGACAATCGCTGGGGGCAGGCGGGCACCGGAAAAATAGATTGCTGATTTCTCGCACCCCGCTCGCGGATTTTTTGCAAAGCAATCAGGACTTTTCGGAAGACCGCTCGCTGAGTCAGCGGATTTTTGAGAGCCCGCCTGTTGAAATTTTTTCGCTCTTATCTTTTGCAGATATATTGCTGAATCTCTGAGGAATCGAGAACTCAGCAATCGGTCTTCCGAAAAGTCCTGATTGCTTTCCAAAAAATCCGCGAGCGGGGTGCGAGAGATCAGCAATCTATTTTTCCGGTGCCCGCCTGCCCCTGGCGATTGTCTGAGTACTTCGGGGCAGGGAGCGTGTCATAGGCTACTTTTCGTTATCGATCGGGATCCTCCGGGGTGATCAGCATGCTCGATTACCCCCCTGTGCCAACTCCCAGCCCCCTAGCTCAAATTTTGCAAAAAAACGATAAAATCGATATCGATCGATAACGAAAAGTAGCCTATGACACGCTCCCTGCCCCGAAGTGTATGTGTGCAAAGTTTGGTCCCGGGCGGAGCCGGGTTTGCCATCTAGTTGTACATAAATGCGAAATTGAGCACATCATTGCTTTTTCAGCTTTAGGTTTTAGAAATATAAAGTAAGCTAGCTGCATGATCTGGCCTAGCAGCGAACCGAACATGGCACTGTACTACGAAATTTGCGCTTTGTTGCACGATTTTCCACTAAAATAATGGCATTTAACGGCTCATAACTTCGTACAGAAAGGCGCTAAGCAGATAAAGAATACAGATTCGAAATTAGCGTTTTATGCTGCATCTAATGCTGTGCAGCTTGCCTGGATTGGCCACTTCGATTTCTGACCATTCTTTTGTAAGCTGAAGCTAGCTCCACAAAATGGTACCTAATCTTCTCGAAAGACTTCATGACAAGAGAGTAATTGATAATCAAAAAGTAGACACATTTTTGGGATACCCTGGAAGACGTTCAGCTCGTGCACGAAACTGATCACTTCTACCACATTTGCAAATTTAACCCCCTCAGCTGTGCCTTACAGGCGCTGCGCTAGACAAAACAGCTGTGTATAGGTCAGTCCTGAAATCGTGACGACGATTCTGACTGCGGTCTTTGCGCAAACAGGAGCGTAACACCTACACGAACAAGCATCATCTCACCGCTCAGGTCAGCCACTTCCAGTGTCTGAATACCATCATATGTAAGCAGAAAAACCATTGGAGTGATACAATCGGTTTCATCCCTGACTAGTCGAAACATTCTACGTGGAGCAGCGCGTGCGCATCGCTGGAGGCTTCGCGAGCGCATTGCGCTGGCATTTTGCCAAGCGAAGACGAAGGAGAATGGAGAGAAGCAGACTTGTCTCAGCCCGATATGCTATACTGCAGCTGCGAAACGACGCGAACCGTTGCGAGGCGGACGCCCGCTAATCCAATTTCCGCCCAAAGCGGGTCGAAACTTACTGTAGAAACCAAAAAATGCGCTTGCTGGAAGTGTGTGCATGTCGCGCGCGTTGCGCCATCGTCTCGATTTTTTGAATGCCCTATAGTTCACCTTGCACCAAACCAAACATCATTTCAGGAGAAGTGCCTACAAATATGGTCTCGCTCTTGTTCGCCTTTCTGATTAGTGGAAAGTTTTTGTGCTTCGTAAGCCCTCTTGTAAACTTTTTATCTCAGCAGTAAAGTAG